GCCCTGTGCTCATAGGCCGCGACACATGCTCCACTCTCGAAGTACGCGCTCTCTGGCAGGCGCAGGTGGTTCAGGCGCGTGCGGTCGCGAATGAGGGACAGGCGCCTGCGCATACACAACAGTTCAAGGCCGGCACAAATGCAGAGACATGTAAGTAGGAGGAGAGTGCGTATTGGAGTGTTGTTGACAAGAAACTAATCCCCCAAGGCACTGACCTGTCCATCTGCTTCACGCGCCGCTTCTTCATCTTGCGCACGACAGCCACAATGTGGCTCATCATGCCCAGGTCCGCCTGGTGCATGATGTCAGGCATGATAACGAGGTAGGGATTGCCCCACACGGTCCCTGGGACATCCCACTTCCACAGCACACACTGGCGGAGGGGTTGTGGTGTGGAATGGTAGAGAAGGGTATATGAGAGACTCGGCCAACATGTGGGGCAGTGCAATGGCAGTGCACATCTCCCCTGGGTTTAGCAACACGGAGTGCATAGACTACAAATTAGCGAAGGGGACAGGTTGCTCACCTCAACCGGGTAGGTCGAGTAGGTCTTGCATGGGTCGGCCTGGCTTGATGTCAACCCAGCCGCCTCATTCACGATCCATTGCTGCTGTTCAGGCGTGCGCGGCGTGTTCCGTGCCTTGACAGCAACCAAATGCTCCTGGTGTAGCACGGGAGGTTGGAAGGGATGAACAGGTAAGGGAGGTAAGATTAGGAGGTCCGTCACGTGCCATTCAGATGACGATGGTGCTGAAGGCGCGCAGCTGGCATGTTTGCTCACCTTTGCAGCATAGCAGATGCTGCACGGCATCCGCGATCCATGCGAGAGTGTGCAACTGATCTTGCCGCTCTCGGGATAGTCGCACACCCAGGCGTACAGCAGTGGCCGCACTGTTTGCCAATCGCCGAAAGGGTCCTTGAGACGGAGGGCGCTGCGAGGAACGGGTAGAGTGGGAACAGCAACAGCCAGGACGACTCTGTGCATCAGCGAGGAGGGGCAAAGGGTAATGCAACATACAAAAACGCTGCGCACGCTATGCTGTTGCTACGGTGACGACATAGCATTACGGAAATCGAGTACGGACCTGTCCATGCCATCAAGAAGCGGCTGCAGCACGGTGATGACGCATCGCTGGAAGAGCATCACCTTCTCGACGGCAGTCATTGCAGAAGGGGGGATAGGAAGGAGAGCAAGTAGCGTGTGCCCGGCTTTCCCCCATCGCTTGGCCTGGGAGATGTTGGCAAGCGTCATCATGAGCGGCCACGCCTTCTTCCGGCCGTTGTTGCTCATGTGCGTCACATCTGAATATAGGATGATACCCCCCACGACTTCGGACCATCCGAAGTGTTCCTGCATTGCACGACAAAGACGGAAACAACACACGGTCAAACACCATCAAGGTAAAGTGTCGCCAGGCGGATTGAGCCTGATACAAAAAACTCCCCACGAAGATGACGCACTGAAGATGCTGCCTACACATCAGCGCATCAACGGACGCATGCGCACGCGTGTGGTTTTGGGTGGCAGCGGGGTATTTACATACCTGAGCATCGTTCCACCACGTTCCTGTTTCTGGCGTGGTATAGCGACGCTCGCCTGTGTCAGGGTCCTCATCAACACGAGCCTTGAGCTTGAAGCCGGGTGCGTTGTTGGTGTGCCCAAACAGTTCAGCAAACGCCTGGAGTGCGGGATCAAGAGCGGGAGAGAACCAAACCCTGGTTTAGTGGCGGGAGCGTTTCACGGGCCAGATCGCACACATGCCTAACAAAGGCAACATTCCCAACAAGCTCCACAAGGATGCGGAATCTGCAGTTCGCATCTACGGTTCCAGAGTCGGCTTACCTGCGCGGAGTTCTGGAAGAGGAGGCGCTGTGGCGGATGACCCTCAATCTCGAAGGTCGCCACTGACCATCCGCGATTGAGCCCTACCAAGCGCTCCATCTCGAACCGCTCCAGATCCTTGCAGTTCCGGATCTCTGAGATCACAAGAGGCGCAAGGCCGGGCTCCACCACGAGCTGAAGCAGGCCATTGATGTCGATCTCCGCCATGCCCATTCCGCCATTTACGCGCCTCACGAAATGCAGCAGTTTCAACGCAATCGGACTGAGGGGCGTCGCATTGCTCTCCCCGGAAATGATTGTCGGCGGTGCCGCGTGACTCACTCCAGGGCGGCACCCCTGATGCTCACTCGTGTCATCTGCAGGTGTTTCTTGTGACGGTTGATGCTCAGATTCAGGAGCCCCCACGTTCACAGCCGAGGGTGTTGCGTCCTCGTCAGCTACCGGGACGCGAGGAGGACCATTCACACCGTCGGTGTTGGACGCGTTAGACGCGGTAGGGGAAGCGGGAGCAGCGGGAGCGTCCGACAGAATGTCGTGGACGAATAGCAGTGCGTGTAGACCGGCTGACGGTGCAGATCGCGAGGGCCTTGCCACGGCGGAAAGGCCTTGACAAGGGGTCCGCCGTGACTTATGACCGCCATAAACTTGGGCGTTGGGGAACCATCTGTTGCAGAACTCGCAGACGACGCCAGGCAAGGAGCCCATGCTTTACGGATCTGTCTAAGTGTTGAGAAATGGCCTGTGAAGCAACTAGCGTCGTGGGAAGCTTGAGAAGGCATTAAGTACACCGTTCAAGAAGGCTGTTAATGCAACCAGGTCATCGCCAAACCGCGCACTGTCGAAGGCGGCTTGTATCACTGCACGACTGGCACTTGAGCGGGCCGCTTAACAATGTTTGGGACTGGCAAACGATGTTCGAGCCGCGCGGTCGTGACAAGGCACGGTACAGACCGCTCACAGCACGGATCGTCTTCCCTACAAGGCGTGTCGCCCCCGTTTAGACAGACCACGTCGTGAGCAGCGGGAAATGCGCCTGATCTTAAGACGGTGGGTCGTGTGTGTGCGTTGCGAGCATGGTGAGAACGACGTGCCTGTGGATTCACGCACCCTTGGTGCATGAGAGTCGAGTGGGATGAGGAAGAGCGGGAAGAGATCCGTTTGGATCTGTGATTCAGTCGCGAAGCGTTGTAGGGGGGAAATCGCGCACACGTAAGTGAGCGCATAGTGTTGCGCTTGACCATAGCCCAAATACAATGATAGTACATTGTAGAATTGTTTTTTCTCTACACAGTAAAGTCTTTGTTGATAACTAGGACATAGTCATATGAAAAGACCTGCTCGATATCCACCCCTAGTTGACAACGTGACAGTCTGAACACCATATCCTCTCATCTCTTGTGTGATCTGGCTACATACGGGAAGTACACAAGAACTCCGTGCCCTCACGATAACGCATCGCCGCTTGTGCGTTGGGCCTCTCATTCATACCCCTTAGAGGCACCTACTTGAATATCTGTCTAAGGCTAGAGGACAATCCAACACCGTACCACAACGGACTCACCTTGTTGCGCAACACCCAAGGCCTGACCGCTACAGCGTCGCCTGTTTAGACGCTGCGGTCGACAACGCACCCTCGCTCGTGCGTTGGACCTGTGCTTCATTCCACACCCTCTATACACCATGTCGAGGGCCCACGCAAGGATAGAGCCCAAGCCAGCACCATTCTATTACGGATTCACCATCTCTCGCAAGCCCTGTATGTCGGCGAACTCTGCAACGTCGCCGCGTTGGAACAGCGCTGTCGATAACGCACCCTCGCTCGTGCGTTGGACCTGTGCTTCATTCCACACCCTCTATACACCATGTCGAGGGCCCACGCAAGGATAGAGCCCAAGCCAACACCATTCCATAACGGATTCACCATCTCGCGCAAGCCCTGGATGTCTGCGAACGCTGCAACGTCGCCGCGTTGGAACAGCGCTGTCGATAACGCACCCTCGCTCGTGCGTTGGACCTGTGCTTCATTCCACACCCTCTATACACCATGTCGAGGGCCCACGCAAGGATAGAGCCCAAGCCAGCACCATTCCATTACGGATTCACCATCTCGCGCAAGCCCTGTATGTCTGCGAACGCTGCAACGTCGCCGCGTTGGAACAGCGCTGTCGATAACGCACCCTCGCTCGTGCGTTGGACCTGTGCTTCATTCCACACCCTCTATACACCATGTCGAGGGCCCACGCATGAATTTACACGCCAACACCACACCACATCTCCATTCCAGTTGGCACTAGTACACGTCGTGCCTGAACAAGTTCCAACGACCGGTATCCGTCGCCAACCCTGAATGTGTGCTCAGTATAGCATTCCATAGTCCACGAGTTGGTAGGTCAAAGAGCGTGTCCGATGCCAGATGCACTCCCTAGACTTAACACAACATGACACCACAAGCGGCCAAGTTCAATACAAATGGTTTTAGTTGTTCTTTGCAAGTGTATTCTGCTCCTATGTTTAAATTTGATCAATGCACATTGGCACTGTATTTTGCAGGATGCGATGATTGGTGGTGTCGAAACGGTACTAGATTCTGCGGAGATTGATGCGAGCGGCGCTGATTGGCCGACGCATCTCAAACGACCCCCCTCCCCATGACCGGACCAGCCAAGCTGGACATTCGCCGCGGAAGCAGCGGCTGTGATCCCGCGTTTAGTGGGTTATTGATCGGGTGGCTAATCGTAGACCGTCCGATTGTGGCTGTCTGCTTACAGTCCCCTCTCTAGACTCGCAAACCACCCCAACGACCGTCGTGCCCCACTCACCATCTTCCGTCACCCTCATACCCACTACCTTGACGCCGCTCGATGCTGAACACAGGTGTTTCCAGATCGCCAGTGAGTCAGAGTAGCGACGAAGCAAAGGGCTGACGCCATGTGCTTAGTAGCTACTTCTTCAGTTGTAACCGTACCTGAGATTTAGGGTGAGACAGTATTGGCTTGACCGGGACGGAGTAAATTAGTAACAATCCTTTCGGCTATTTTCTAAAGCTGGCTAAACAATCCCGCAAGTTATAACTTGCATTCGTACAACCCTCATGACACGTGCAACTCGGCAAACAGAAAAGGAGAAGGAGCAGGCAAAACGACGCACGACACGGCGGATGTCGATACAGACCGACCATGAGGGTGGGGCCAGATCTAGGGCTACTAAAGCGGCCGCCGCGCAAACCAACCAAAGGAAACGTGCGGCGGGGAAGAAGGCTGAGGTTGGAACGAAGAAGTCCGGGAAGAAGGCGGAGGACAAGGGGAAGCAACCAACGGCACGCAAGCGTGTTTCGGCCGTGAAGAGCGATGCGGGTGTTGCCACTGCTGCCCTCGAGCCCGGTCCTTCCGACGACGGCACCATCGGCGGGAACGAAGACCCTGGGCGTGGCGGCGTGAGTGTTGCCGTCCGGCCGGGGGACAGAGAGGGCTTGGCGACTGGAGGAAAGCACGGCGAGGCTCCCGGCGACGACCAGGCCGCAACTGTGGTGTCCGTGGCAGAGGCATCACAGCAGCATATGACGCTGCTCCCCCCGCCCGTGGTCGAAGTATCTGCTGCAGTGATAGATAAGGAGAAGAATGCTGCGCACGATTGCACGGAGGAGCCGAAACACGACATTGCCGACGTCGGTGGATCTCCTCCCTCTGGGGGTCGCGGAAGGCGTAGGCAGAGGAAGAGCGATGGGGAGGAGGAGTATGACACCCCCGTGGCCGAGGACATCCCCATACGCGCAAAGAGGAGGCAGACGACAGCCAGCGGTGACGACGCCGGTGGTGCTGAAGTTGGGACAACGCGAGGCACCACGGAGCCAAGTGGCTTGGCGACAGATCATGCTTTGCGGCAAAAGGGCCGACCCGGTCCGCGGAAACCATCTAGCGGACGGGGGGGCAAGCAAGCCTTGGGGGGGAAGAGGCCGAAGCGCGGCAAAGAAGGCCCTGGTGAAGCGGATGTTGAGGACGAGGGGGATGGGGAGGAGGAGGCCGAGGAGGATGCGGAGGAGGAGGACGAGGATGCAGGGGAGGAAGAAAAGGACGAGGATGAGCAGGAGGACGACGATGATGAGGAGGAGGAGGAGGATGAGGATGGCGACGAGGGGAAGGAGAAGGAGGACGATGAGGATGAGGATGAGGACGAGGAGGAGGACGATGAGGGGGATGACGAGCCTGAGGAGGAAAAGAGTGAGGAGGAGGAGGAGGAGGAGGAGGAGGAGGAGGAGGATGAGGAGGAGGAGGAGGAGGAGGAGGAAGAGGAGGAGGATGATGGTGAGGAGGAGGATGAGGAGGAGGAGGACGACATGGAGGAAGAGGAGGTGGAGGAAGGGGCGGATGAGGAAGAGGAGGAGGAGGAGGAGCCGGCAGGGAAAGGACGGGGCGCGCGAGGCAGACGGGGGAGTGGCACAGGGAAGGTGGGGGGCCGGTCTGGTCAATCCCGGAAACGCGGGGCGGTTGACGCAATGCGTGGCGGCCCAGCGGGCAAATCGAAGGCGCGTAAAGTGAAGGTCGAAACTGACCGGGGTGGAAGGAAGCAAGGGAGACAGGGTGGGGCAGGCGATGGAGAAGGAAAGGGAAGGCGCGCGAAAGGGGTACCTGTAGGTTCGGCAAAGAAGGAACCTGCCCGTAAACGAGGCAGCACCCGCCGAAGCACACCGCGGAAAGGGGGCAACGATAAGGAGCAGGCAGCAAAACCGAAGGGACAGCAACGAGGTACGCAAAGTGTCACAAACGCATGGCATAGCTGCCGTGGTTTGTGATGAACAGACCCTAACAATACCGTGTTCCACCCCGTGTTTCCCCGCCGCAGGGAAGGAGAAGGTTGACGAATCGGCTAAACCGGGTAAGGCGTGACTATACACTACAGTTCCCAGCTACACCCCTGTCTGAATCATGCGGTTACTCGTTTGCGTGCATGTGTCCAAATGTACATAGCAGACACCATCTCCGTGCTCATCCTCCGTGTGACTCTCAGCCCCCCGTGTTACAGGCATTGGGCCACCGGTAAGCGTGCAACGGATGCAGCTAACGAAAGGGGCCGGAAGAGCGAGTGTGGCACCGCTATCCACAGGAGCACCAAGGTTCTTCACGCCATACTCCGGCCCGAGCAAAGTCGCTGCGACTGCACCCGGCGCGGCTACAGGAGAGGAATCCGAATCCCCTCCACCAGCCCCCGTCACGCACTCCCCACTCGCCTCTCCCTCTTACCCATTTCGGCCACTACACGCTTCTCCTGTCCGGGGCAGGGCGGTCTCCCCCCTCGCTGGTCCATCGCGCGGGCATCAACCAAGCACTTCTGCCAATCCCTTCCCTGAGCCTCCCTTTCCCCGCCAGCGTGATAGTGTGAGGGCACACGGGGCTGCTGCTGAAGACGTTGATCCCCTTGGCCAGAGAGGGGTTTCTACACACCCTTTTCCGGATGTCATGGATGCGCTGGGCGAAGGTGCAGAGCATGGGCAGTTTGTTACACGAGACGAGTTCCAGCAGCTACGGTCTGAGATGTACGCCATGTTTGCTCAGCTCGGCCTGCGTCGTGGAGCAACTGCCAGCTATGCCGGGGGGACTGCAGTGGTGCCTATGGCTGGTACCCCGCCGCCGATGAGTGCCGTGGACAGGGCACGTGTGCTTGTGCTTCGGGAGACCAACCCATTCCCGGTATGTGGCGGGTTGGGGTTGACGTGGCAACCAGGGAAGGGTTGGGGATGACGTGGCGGTTGGAAAGGGTGCGCGGGAGCGGTGCAGGGCGACACGCGGCTCCACAGTGTCAGAATAACTGAACGAGGAATGAATGAACTAGCTCAGAGTTTGGTACAAGTAGGAAACCCTAACTTTGTGTACCCCCTAAGGTGTAACCCACTACAGCCTACACAATATAAACATACAATGTTTGACACACAGGTGGGCGGGGGCTGATGTGGCTCTTTCGGATATCTGAGTGCGACATGGCAAGTGGGTTGAGCTGTTGGTGTAGGCGGCGGACGCAACGGCGTGTGACGTGGCAAAAAAGGTGAGGGTTGAGATATGACGTGGTGGTGTTGAACAGATGCAAGGGAGCGGCGCATGACGGGGCGAGAGCCTTCAGGTGGGTGGGGGGTGACGTGGCATGGGGTGGGTGGGGGGTGACGTGGCATGGGGTGGGTGGGTGTAACGTGGGCGGATGTGAGGGTTGGGGCTGACGTGGCGGTTTGGACGGGTACAGGGGAGCGGCGCGGGACGAGGCGACGCGTGTCCGGTGGGTGGGGGGTGACGTGGCATGGGGAGGGTGGGTGTGACGTGTCACGTGGGGATGGTCGTTGGTGGATTTGGCGGATGCAGGAGGGTGTGCCGTGGCGGGATGTGAGGGGTGGGGCTGATGTGGCGGCTTGGAAGGTTACACGGGAGCGGCGCGGGACCAGGCGACACGTGTCAGGTGGGTGGGGGGGTGACGTGGCATGGGGTGGGTGGGTGTGACGTGGCACGTGGGCCTGGTTGTTGTTCCCTGACGTGGCGGATGCAGGAGGGTGTGACGTGGCGGGATGTGAGGCTTGGGGCTGACGTGGCGGCCTGGAAGGTTACACGGGAGTGGCGCGTGACGACGCTGGTCGTGTCAGGTGGGTGGGGGGGTGACGTGGCATGGGGTGGGTGGGTGTGACGTGGCACGTGGGCCTGGTTGTTGTTCCCTGACGTGGCGGATGCAGGAGGGTGTGACGTGGCGGGATGTGAGGCTTGGGGCTGACGTGGCGGCCTGGAAGGTTACACGGGAGTGGCGCGTGGCGATGCTGGTCGTGTCATGTGGGTGGGGGGGTGACGTGGCATGGGGTGGGTGGGTGTGACGTGGCACGTGGGCCCGGTTGTTGTTCCCTGACGTGGCGGATGCAGGAGGGTGTGACGTGGCGGGATGTGAGGCTTGGGGCTGAAGTGGCGGCCTGGAAGGTTACACGGGAGTGGCGTGTGACGATGCTGGTCGTGTCAGGTGGGTGGGGGGGTGACGTGGCATGTGGTAGGTGGGTGTGACGTGGCACGTGGGCCTGGTTGTTGTTCCCTGACGTGGCGGATGCAGGAGGGTGTGACGTGGCGGGATGTGAGGGGTGGGGGCTGACGTGGAAAGTTCCTACAGTCCACCTGGCCACAGTCATTACTCATAATTTCTCTCTCCCCGTGTCGTGTTGTAAACCCCACACCCCTGCGCAGAGCAAAGCCTACTTAGTGTGCTCTCAGCTCCTGTTTCTGAACCCCCCGGAGAAAATTCAGTATTACCCTGCACCGGAGGAAGTGTTCGAGGCCTTCGCTGTCCACTTGTCTGCCGAGGGGCTAGAGTCAATGAAGCTGCTGTGGTTGCACAACGACAAGTCAACCATGGGTGTTTTCAACCACCAGATGTCATCAACCAGGTCAACAATCAACACCACCCTCAGGCCAGCAACGTACGCCGGCATGGGTCTCTCCGATTACGCCAATGCGGTGGATTGCCTGCCCACTGAGCTACACCCAAAGAAGTGGTTCAACGACGAGCAACTCCTGGCGGAGTACAGAGATGGTATGTGCATCTCAAACACACCATATCCCCTTGCCCATAAGCCAGTCAGCAGCTACAAATAACCGTGTCGTGGTACTCTGACCCTGTCTCTCCCCCCCCCACCTGATCTATCTACACCCCCTTTCCAACCCATACGCTCCCTCCAAAATGCAGAACAGTGGGCCCTCAACTGGCACTTTGACAAGGCCACCGGAACACCCTTCAGCAACCCCTTGTTTGCTTATGCGTTCAAGCTCTCCTTCAAGAGGAGCGGGGTCGTGTTCACCAAGTTCAAGAGCCGCATGGTGGCATGGGGCCTGTTTTCGGTAAGGAGGTAGATATGTGTCTCTACACCCATGCATCATCCCCTAAACCCCTTGCCTGTACTTCATCTAAATCCCTGGTCGCTTAGGCGTTTGCGGTTACGTAGGATGTGTCGTCTTCACCTGGTTCAGCTGGAGCATATACCCGTTACCCCCCCTCATACACCATCCACCCAACCCTACACCACATTGCAGATCGAGTGGCCCCTTCTGCAGGACAAGCGCCGCAAGCGAATTCCGGCCCAGCCGGAACAAAACAGGCCGGACTACTTCGAATGGTGTGACAAGGTCAAACAGATGATACACTTTGCCGTCGTGGAGCGACGCATCCCACACGATCCAGCTTCCCGAACAAGTTCCTCTTCCCGAACAAGTTCCTCATCGACGATGGCGACCTTGGAGATGTTGTTCTTGCCCACCGGGCGCTTGCAGGGCCCACCATTGAGTAGGCTATTTCACTAGGTGTTAAAACTGCTTGTTGTTACAATGCTGAATAATGGTTGCTGTAAACCGGAATGTTGAATGTAATTCTGAGATCCTCAAGCCCATAAATAAAACAAAAAATAAAATCTATTTTAAATGATCTGGTCACGAAATTGCACCAAAACGGATTGCGCGCGAATGTCTTCCGGAAAAGCACGCGTGCCAATTTGGAACTTGACCCGAGCCAAGCCTTGTCGCGAGATGTGTGTCGGAGCTCCTATCAAACGACTCCAACCGTCGGTCGAAATTGGGTCCGGATTTTTTTACGCGAAGACAATCGCAATCAAAATTCGTCCAAACTTGGCATAGGGTTTTTGTGATGTTTTCGGGCACGACAGGCAGCAGATTGAGTCGGGATGGGTTCCTGCCGCTGGCAGAACGCCGTCGCCGGCATCTAGGGAGAGGCTAACGGCGGCATGGTCGGAGAAGGAGGTGAAAAGCGCTTTTCGCGCGATGGCGAAGAATAAGGCCCCGGGGAGCGACGGGTTGCCGAAGGAGATGTTTGAAGAGCACTGGGACGTGTTGGGTAAGCACTTCATGGCGCTGGTGGAGTGTTTCACCGAGTCGGCAGAGCTTCCTGCAAGCACAAAGAGCGCTGTTACTATTCTGTTACACAAAAAAGGTGGAAGAGATGCGGTTGAGAACTATCGCCCCATCACGCTCCTGAGCTTCAGTTACAAGGTATTTGTCAATGGGAGTTGGGTGTTGGCCCCGTCCTCGCTTGGGCGGAGCCGACTTCGTGGTCGGGTGTAGGGTGCAGCCGACCTGCAGCAGTGGGCGAGTTGGTCGACGAGGTTGGTCGACCTGCACGGGGAGCCACTGCATGGGCGCCGACTTCAGGAGGGCGCCACCTTTGGCTGGTCGACCTGGGAAGTCGACCAGCACGTTTGGTCGACCTGGGAAGTCGACCAATCTCTTCTGGTCGGCCTGGGACGTCGACCAGACCCTCTGGTCGACCAGGAGTGACGTCGACCTAGATCTGGTCGACCAGGGAGTAGTGGTCGACCTGGGGAGGTCGACTGGAGGTGGCCGTCGACTTGGGAGGTCGACCGGCACGTACTGTTGGGTGCAAATGCACATTGCAGGACATCCTGCCGTCTGTTTGTACGAGTATGCGTGTGCGAATGCATTTGCGTGTGAATGGTGTGTTCGTGTGTTTGTTTGCTTTCGCATTTTTTCGCTTGATGCATTTGCAGGTACTCGCGCAATGTGCGCTTCGGCACAACATTGTATGCGCTATGAACAGTGCAAGCAGAAAGGACGAGCTCGCAAAGGAACCCAAGATGGAAGCTTTGCAGTTCGGTTGAGTTGATTGCGCAGATTCAGTTCTATCCAACTCGAAATTGTACTGTTTTGTTTGGTTAACTATAGTGTAGCAGGGAAGGCACTATAGGGGTACAATTTAGGTGAAGGTTGGATGTTGTTTGTCTGTATCTGCATGCTACAAGGCCAGGGGAAACCAGCGGAACCAGCATTTGGCTGGTTGGGCAAAGACAAAACAGGTTCTGTTTTTAGAACCTGAACCTGGTTGTTGTTTTCCCAGGTTGGAAAAACAGAACCAGAGGTTGTTTACCAACCTACCACCTGCTATTTTGTCCAGCCAGGTTGGTTCTGTTGCTTGGAATTATTTGGGATCATCCCTGGTTGTTCCCAGGTTGATTCCCAAGGTCCTTGCTAGCTAGAACTATTTAATCCTTCTCTGTTTGTACCTGAATATAGTCAAATTGATTCAAGCGAATTCCTTCCTCGCTGGAATTTCGTTTCTGCGCTATTCGACAGCGGAATGCTACCCGAGTCAACGCTAGTATGCTAGCACTCCAACACTAGGCAAACGCTGTCCGAGCCATAACTTAGTAATGGCAGAACTTTTCGCGAGGCAACTTGTCTCATTTTAAAGCTCTTGGAGCGAGCTTCGATATAGCGAATTCTCAGCTTAATCCGATCGACGGTCTGCACGTCACGCTGCGCGACGTTCAAGGTACTCTTGCTGTTTTGACTAAGTCCTTCTTGATCCCTCTCTCTACAAACTCGGACCCGAGGATAGGGGCTGGTCTTGTACCAGGCACCCAGGGACCCTTGGAGGTGACCCCGAGGAGAGGTTTTAAGTTTGATTAAGTCCTAATAGCTTGAGTTTATTAGGCCCTTACACCAACAAGCTGGTATCAGAGCTGCGTTATAGTGATCCTCGTTATAGGTAGCTATGGCGGGCAACACCTCGGCAGGAGCTGGTGAATCTTCAGCCCAAGATCGTAGCGGCAGCCAAGATTCTGGTCTTTCAGCGCCAAGGGGAGCGCGAACAAACCAGGGCTCGCTTGTCAAGGAGGTGCTGAAGAATTTCACCGTCGAGAAGTTCAATGGTGAGGGCTATGATGATTGGGCCTGGAAAATGCAATTATATTTCCGTCAGATCGGTTTGCTGAAACTAATGATTGGGGAGGAGCCTAGACCGAGTGACCCCACGCTGCAGGAAGATTGGGACGAGCGCTCCTCGGCTGGCTACTATTTGATGTCGCAGAGTTTGGAGCTGAACCAGCGTCACCACGTCATGCACCTGCTGCCGGAGGTTGAATGCGGTCCGAAGGCGTGGACCGTGTTGAAGGAGCTGCACGCCCCGACCTCCGTTGTCGCAACGTTGATGCTGGAGAGGGAGCTGTCCGCGTTGCGCCTGAGCGAGGGAGAGCCGGTGCAACCAGTCCTGGACAAGATGCGCGACCTCTACGCGAAGTTGGCGACCGCGGGAATCACCTACCCGGAGCAGACCAAGTGCTTGAAGATGCTCTCGCTGCTGCCAGAATCGTGGCTTCAATTTACGAGCGGATTGAGCCTGCCGCAGAACCAGAGCTTGTGGACGCTCGAGTGGGTGCGGACGAAGATTCTGGAGGAGGACTTCCGTCGCCGCCAACTGAGGGGTGGAGACGACGGCAGCAGCGGCTACGGAATGCAAGGGAACCGACGTGGCAGAGGACGTGGCTTCGGTGGTGCTGGGCGCGGTGCAAAGAAGGACGACGACTCCAACGACCAACAAGGAGGTACCGGTTGGGGTCGCGGTGCGAAATCTGGACGTGGGGGCAAATCGGGTGCTGGTGGCAAAATGAAAGGGAGTTGCTGGTATTGTGAGAAGGAAGGGCACCCCTGGTTTTTGTGCTATAAGAAACCCGATGGATGGACCCCCCAGAATCGTCACCAGGATGGCGGCGCGCGGAGGAACCAGAAAAACGGCGCCAACATGGTCGCTGATTCGTCCGACAACAACCCGAAGGGCAACGGCGGTGCGGAGAAGAAGAAGGAGCGCACCGCGGGCCAATTCTTCCATGTGGGAGACAAGGGGGAGCAAGGAGACGCCTCTGCCAAAGTTGGAGCAGAGCTGCACCCCCTAGACTATTGGGTGTTGGACACAGGCGCTGCTTGGACGATGACGCCGCGCAAGGACCTGCTGGACGAAGTACGAGCTGCACCAATCAATGAAGTGTGCTCCGCCTCTGGACACATGTTGAAGGTGGCTGGTGCGGGACGAGCTGCGTTTAAGGGAGCGGATGGCAAGCCGGTGGTGCTGCACGACGTTCTCTTCGTCCCCGACCTGAAGGCCAACCTTATCTCCCTCCGTAAGCTTGGCAAGGCTGGGGTGAACACCAACACGGATGGGGCACGCACTTATAAGGGGAAGCTGGGCAATCGGGTGCTTTGGGATCTGCACGAGAGCAAGGACGTGTACAGATCTATGTGGCAGCTGCCGGCCCTGGCGTGGCATGGTGGGGGGCAGGCTGGAGAGGGGTCTGCATCCCAGGGGGAGTGCAATGCCGTTGGAGGGGTTGGTGTGAAAGTGTCGGCCAGATCTGGGGAGACAGATTGGGCAACGGCACACCGGCGCTTAGGGCATGTGGCAATGCCTTTGCTGAAGCAGCTGGAGAAGGATGGAGCCGTTAAGGGTCTGAAGCTGAACGGACAGCCACCCGATGACAACTGTGAAATCTGTTTGCTTTCAAAGTTCACCCGTTTCCCTTTCCATAGTGTGGCTGGCAGGAGCAAGAAGCCTTTGGAGCTGGTCCACATGGACTTGGTGGGGCCGCTGCCGGTGCAAGGGCACAAGGGGGAGCGGTATTTTCTTACAATTGTGGATGACTGGAGCAGGCTGATGTGGGCGTATCCGCTGAAGCAGAAGGACCACGCCGCCTCCACGATACGGGACGATTGGCTGCCATTCGTGGAGAAGCAGGCGGAGTGTGTAGTGAAGCGGATTAGGACAGACCGGGGTGGTGAGTTCCTTGGAGCTGAAATGACGGCCTGGCTCAAGAAGCAGGGCATCCAGAGAGAGCTGACCACGGCTTATACCCCACAGTCCAATGGTGTAGCAGAACGGGCAAACCGGACCATTCTGGAGACAGCTAGGGCGCTGCTCATAGAATCTGGGCTGAGCAATTCTATGTGGCCTCATGCTGTCCGGCACGCCACTGTCGCTAGGAACAGGGTGCTCACCAAGGTTGGGGATGACTCGTGGGTGCCGTTGGAGAGGTGGCTTGGGAGGAAGCCGCCGGTGGACATGCTGAGGGTGTTCGGTTGCATGGCAGTCGCCCACGTCCCCAAGACCTACCGCAGTAAGTTGGGGGCGAGTGCAATCTGGTGTGTGCATTTGGGGCTGGCTGCTGAGAGCAAGGGATGGCTGCTGTGGGAACCATCCAAGGGTGTGTTGTTTGACAGCAGGGATGTGAAATTCATTGAGGGCATGATGTATGGGAGCTGGGAGAAACAGCCGGAGGCAAGGGTGTCCCAGCAGATGGAGCAGATCACCATGCAGCTGGACCTGACTCCTAGTGTGTGGGAGGAGGGAGAGGAGGCAGCTGCTGGAAATGGTGATGGAGAGAAGGTACAGGAGGCATCTGCTGGTGGAGAAAATGGTATGGAAACTGGCGGCAGCACTAGTGGAGCTGCTGGACCCGAGGGAGGAGAGAAGCAGCAGGGAAAAACTAAGAAGCCGAAGGGTGTCGTTATGAAGGGATGGGAGACACCCGTCTCCAGGCCAGGACGTACCCGTATGGCTACTAAGAAGCTGACTGCAGGAACTGATGCAGCAGAGCAGCAGCTAGGGACCGAAGAGGCATTGCTGATTCTACCTCATGGCTATGACCCGGATGAGGAGGATGAGCCTGCGTACTGTTTTCTTGCCCCAGCACCAGAGGAACCAGCTAGCATGGAAGAGGCATTAGCTGGACCAGATAGGGACAAGTGGCTGGCTTCTAGGGATGCTGAGTACCAGAGTCTGCTGGAGAATAGGACATGGGATCTGGTGGTGCTGCCTGATGGGAAGAAAGCGATACAATGCAAGTGGGTGCTGAGGATCAAGACCGATGACAAGGGGCAGGTCACCATCTACAAGAGTAGGCTGGTGGCGAAGGGGTTTATGCAGAAGGAGAAGCAGGACTTCAACGAGATCTTTGCTCCCACTGCCAAACCCCCTACCCTCCGTGTCTTGTTGGCAGATGCAGCTGTTAGTGGGAAATTCATCATTCAGATGGATATTTCAACGGCATTCCTGAATGGGATTTTAGAGGAGGATGTGTACATGACGCAGCCGCCTGGGTATGAGGATGGTACGGGCAGGGTGTGCAAGCTCAACAAGTCCATCTACGGCTTGAAGCAGGCGCCACGCTGCTGGTACCAGAAGTTGGCAGCTGTTTTAGAGGAGATGGGATTCAGGACCAGCAGCTGTGATGAGAGCCTCTTTCTCAAGGGCGAGGGGGAGAAGCTGGTGCTGTTTC